TTTCATTATTAAAAATTCAGAGTAAGAAAACTCATGTAGATCTACAAATAGGGGTGAGAAGTTTATTTAAGGGTAGAAGGGTACGTAGATTATTAATTTTTATTTGCCGGGGTTGGTGTTACAAAAAGATGATGTAACCTTTAAACATTATCGTTATGCTTTTTCTTTGTGTAACTTCATAATAGTTTATCTTGTAATTAGGTAATGATCGAACTATATACTTTGGAGTTAGATCATCATTTACGTTTTGCATAATAATTACAGTAGTTAGAGTTAGAGTTGTTAGGCAAAACCTAGAGGTTTCGTGCTGACGAAACACGAAACCTAGTTTCGACTTTCGTCAATTTGAACTGCAAATGACAAAATGACGAAACTGACTAAAGGTGACGAAACTGACGAAAGGTGGCGAAAGGTGACAAAGCTTGCGAAACCTGTGAAATCTGCGAAACTGGTGAAACTGATGAAAGTTGACGAAACTTGTAAACTGGTAAAAGTGATTAAGCTAATGAAATTTAATATTAGTAAAATTTGACAAATTTAGTTAGAATAAAACTTCAAGTTTAACTTAAATTTTTATAACACATTATTTGAGCTACTAGTAAATAATGAATATAATATTTTTATATTTGTTTTTTTTTTTTATAATTTTTTTTATTTGATAATTAAATCTTAAAATTATTTTTTATTTGTAAAAAAATTAATAAATTGTTTTTTAAATACCTTAATAATAAATTAGCTAATAAATAATATAACATATTTATTAAATATAAATACTTTAATTTCTGTATTAAGTTTTATAAAATTTAAAAATATAATAATTAGAAATATAAAATTACTAGTATTATATATAATTTTATGACTTTTACTAAAACGCACCTATGGTATTTTACACCTATGTATATATTATCTCAAAAACTGGCTAATTAATTAGTGCAAAATGTTCTAAGTAAAAATGCTCTATGCCCCTAAAAATCTTTTTCAAACCCTAACTCTAACCCTAAATACTAACACTAACATGAAAATTTTGTGTTAAAAATTTTTATATTTAAAACTTAGAAAAATCTAAAAAATATAATAAAATATATGATAGGTGCAAAACCACCATAGATGCGTTTTATAATAAATGTAATTTTATAATTTAATTTATTAAATTTAATTTATATTTATTTATATTTATTAAAATTTAACAAGTTTTAATAAGTTTTTTTAAATTATATAGTAATTTAAATTTAAAAATAATATAGTTAATAAAATAAAAACCAAGTTTAGTTTTTTTAATAATATAATAATTAAAAAATTTTAACTTTACAAAAAAATTAATAGAAAAAAAGTGTGAATTAACAAACTAAAAAAAACTATTAATAAATAATAAAATTAAAATTTATATATATAAAATTTATAACTTATAAAGAAATAAAAATTTAAAAAATAATAAAATATATAATATATTTATTTTAAAATAAATATAATTTATATATTTTATATTCTAAATTAAATAAAATTTTTAATTAAATTATATATAATATATTCAAAATTTTATTAATTTCAAATTATTACTTACTAATCATCATCTGAAATTAATAAATCTTCAGGATTCCAATCATATTCATCTTGTCCAAAAATTTGATTTTCTTCACTAAAATATTCTAAATTTTCATTACTAATTTCTAGTAAATCATCATCATCATCATTATTTTCATCAGAAAATATTTCTAAATTATCAATAAAATTTTGATCATCTAAATCTAAATTATTTTCTAAAAATAAAATTAAATCTTCTTTAGTTTTTGTTATTTGATTTTCAGTTAAATATATACTATTATTTAAAAATAATTCTTTTTTATCAAAACCTTCTTTTTCTAAAACTTTTTCAAAAGTTTTAGTATTTGTTTGATTTAAAATTTCTAAAACTTCTTTTTCACTTATTTTACTTGCAAAATAAGAAAGTTCTTTTTTTGTATTTGAATTATAAAATATGCATAATTTTGAAATTGATTCTAATTTTTGAATATCTAATTGAATACGTCTATTTCTAGTTAACCAATTAAGTAAAGAAAAATTTCTTTCACAAGATGTACTATTTGGAACAATAGCTAAAATTTTTATAGCTAATTCTTGAAGATAGTTTGGTTCAGGTTCAATAGAGTTCCACCAAATTATTGGAATATCTTGTCCTTGTACATAAGATGCATTATATGAATATTTTTTTCTTTATATAAACAAAGATGTGATACTAAAATATTACTATTTGCTCGATCTTTTTCTAATTTTTGCCATATAGAACTTACTATTTTAATAATTCTAGAAAATTGTCCACTTTTAAATCCAAGATCTAAATTATAAAATATTATTAGTTTAATATATAATAAATATAAATATAAATATATTTACTTCGAAAATTTGGTATTAAAAAATATTCTAAAATATATAAATCATCATCAAATTCTTTAAATCTTTTGTTTAAAATCTTAAAACAATGTTTTCAAAATTCTGTATATTGTTTAGTTGGTAATTTTTTAATTGCTGCAGCAGATTTTGCTAATCCAAGATAACAATTACCAAGAGTAGCATAATTGCTTTCTAATAATAGCAAAGATTTTTTTAAAGGTAATAAAACAAAATTTAAAACTTTTTTTTTTTTTTTTTTTTTTTAATAATTCGGCAGTCTTGCCTTCACTTTATTAGGCTTTGTAATAATTATCTAAA